TTAAATTAGTATAATATTCTTTAACATTGTATTAATGGGCATTTAAGGATATTGCTCTAAGGTTCTTGCTTCATCCATGTTTGGGATCTTGAAACTGGTGTGTTTAGTTTTTTTGTTTTTTGGTAAATGGTGTGTTAAAGTTGATTGATTTTTAATCATTCTATTTTGGTTTCTGTTTTTTTTTTTTTTGTTTTTTTGTCTGATTCTTTATAGGATGAGATTCTGTGACCAATGCCTTACAAAAATAAATTCTGACATTGATGAAATTGCTTTCACACTATTCTTGTTAAGTCTTTTCTTCTAGGATCACTCAAACAATTTTTCATATTCTTTTCTTTTTTAAGGATATTTGGAATAAGACATGGTACCCAAAAGCTGCAGATCATGTAAACACAGAAAAAACATGGTATGTTGTAGATGCAACTGACAAAATTCTGGGAAGATTAGCATCAACTATAGCCATTCATATCCGTGGGAAGAATCTGGCAACATATACTCCCAGTGTGGACATGGGGGCATTTGTCATAGTGGTATGTATTATGTATATATGCTACTTACAGATGATTAATTTCAGCTTGATGTAGGTGTAGATATGTTCTTTTCAGTTACTCTACTTTTGTGTATTAGTGTATGCTGCCTTGTGATATAAGTCAGTTCATACAATTCATATTTGAAATTTGTTTTTTTTTTTTAATTATTTTACATTATGCAAAAGATGATGGTCTAACAGGGTTAGACAAAGATATTTTTTCTAAAAGGTAAGGTAATTTTATTAAATAGAATACAAGATACAAAAGGCCCGACTGAAGGGGCTACCGACCGGGCCTAAAGGCCCTACAAAGATTACAGATCAAACAGACTTGTAGACCTCAGCTGGCACCCAGCACCCTGACCTGCAAACCTTTAGCTGCTGTCCAAGAGACCAGTTTGCCAAAAGAGGTAGAGATTAGGCAGTTTACATCCCTGGAACAGTTTTGGAAGATTCTTCTGTTTCTTTCCAACCAAATAGTATGTATTACTGCTGCAGGAACTGTCTTCCACACACATTTAGCCAACTTTGATAGACCCTGGAGCTCCCAACACCAAAGCAGATCCTTCACAGAGGTAGGCATGACCCAGACTACACCCACGGAAGAGAGATAATGGTCCCAAATTTCTGCAGAAATAGGGCAATGAAGAAAAAGGTGATTGTTGTCCTCTTCTTCATGGCCACACACAACACACACAACAAATCTTGTAGCTGAACTCCTCTCTTGACCAGGTTCTTTTTAGAGAGACTTCTGTCTAGCACCACAACCCAAATAAAGGCATTAACTTTGGAAGGAGGAACTGGATTCCATATTTTCTTAGCAGGAATATCGGCTCTGCCTCCAGTTACTAGATTCCTAGCAAAGGAGTTAACTAAAAACAGGCCATCCGAGGTCCAGTTCCAGCTCCAAGAGTCTTCTTCCAACTGGTTTAAAGGCTGAGAGGATAGCAACTGAAACAGCTCAGCCACTTGTTCTATTTCCCAGTCTTGGAACTGTCTTCTAAAACAAGGAGTCCAAGTGACACTGTTATCTCCCACTTCATAACAGTCAGCAACCAAAGTGTTGGTTCGGCTGTCTTAATTTGTATGTTTATYYTTGTTGRGTMTTAAGTCATTAGTTATTGGGCCTTAGTTACTGGGCCTAATCTTATTTAGTGTTTATTTTGACTAGGTGTCCCATCACTAATCAGGGGCATTCTGGTCTATTTATGTAATATTATGTAATGTTCTTATATATAGGCTGAGAACTATTCTGCCACCCATCTCATATCTTCTTCTTGTTCTTCTTCTTCTCCTCTCATTCGACAGCTCTATTTCATAAAACACAAAGCATCCTGGTTTTCTGCAAGCTGGAATAACTGGGGGAAGGATTCAGCTAGAGGCTTGTTATTGCACCAAGGATCTTTCTAGAATATCAGTCTGTGACCAGACCACAGCCTAAGAGACAAGCCTCTATTGAAAAGTGGGGCCACCTCCATGATTTTCTTCCATTGGGAACACCCCAAAGAGGGGAAATTTGAAGTAGTTGTCCAATCACCTCTGTCAGTACCAAGTTTTGCTGCTATTAAACTCCTCCACCACCTTTCCCTTTCTTTCCCGAATCTCCAAAGTCCAAACCCATTTCCCCAAAAGGGCCTTGTTGAAGATTTTCAACTTTCTAATCCCCAGCCCCCCTTTTTCTTTTGGTACACACATCTTGTCCCAATTGACTAAATGTATTTTCTTATCCTCCTCCCAGCCTCTCCATAGGAAGTCTCTCTGTAACTTTTCAATTCTTTGCACTACTTTAGATGGGATTGGGAAAAGGGAGAGAAAATATGAAGGTAAATTTGAAAGGGAGCTCTTTATAAGGGTGATTCTACCTCCCAAGGGAAGGTATTTAAATTTCCAGGAGACTAGCTTCCTTTCTAACCAATCCACCACAGCATCCCACACTAGAGAGGAGGTGCACTTGGCTCCCAATGGAAGTCCAAGATACTTAATAGGCAGAGAGCTAACTTGGCAAGCCAGCACATCAGCAAGAGCTTCTAAATTTTCTACCCTTCCAACTGGTATTAAGCTGCTCTTTGACCAATTAACTTTCAGCCCCGACACCACATCAAACCAACTCAGCACCCCTAGAAGGACTTCCAATTGCTCCACTTCAGCATTGATAAAGCAGAGTGTGTCATCAGCAAACTGCATCAAGTGAACCTGCTCCCCCCGGGCTTGATTCAAAGATATATACTTCTATTTTCCACTTTGGCTGCAATTGATTGGACATAAAATATGTTGCAAGACAGCTATTTATAAAATATTAATTTTTAGTGATCGGCTGCCAGTAAAATACCAAGGGTAGCAAAAAAAATCCAAGTCTAGAGTGAGAACAGTGTAAAATGACTTTTTCCCTTTCCGAAGTTAAGTCAATGTACCTTTTTTCTTGGTTGAGATTGTAGGCTTTACTTTTAAGAATCCTACTGATAACTGTCTACTTAAATTACTCACATCCAAGAAAACCTGCGATTTCGTAGAAGTCTCTCTTTTCCATGTAAGCCTAAAATTTAGTGTTCTTCTGATGGCCCTGTTTTCCAAGTTTGTCTCAAAGTTGCAATTAAACATTAAAAAATTATGAAAATATTTAAAAACTAATTATTTTTAGCTCACAATTTTTTAGCATGCCAAAATATTTGGCATGCTCTGTAGAACATTCTGCTTGCACTTCTGTTGCTATTCCATCACCAAGAATCAGGTAATGCTTTCTTGCTATTTTTTCTTCTGACAAGTTCAACTTCAAACATCCATACTATTTCATAGCAACACAGCTTATTCTTCTTTTGGCATAAGATAAAAGGCTGTTTTTCTCATGGAATCCATAGATCCATTGGCCCACATGATAAGAGGGTAGTGAAGAGTTAATTTCTTCATTTTGATGCAGACATGATTATCCTTTTGCAACTTTGCAATCAATAGTTCAATAATGCAAGACAGCAATGTTTAGATTGAACAACCAAGATATTTTATTTTTAAGGCGATGCACTGTGAAAGTTTATGTTTTAGGTTTAACTTTAGTTGGAACACAAGTTTTCTTCATTCTAGAAATTTGGTAAGTCAAATGGGATATATGCATCTCGTGCCAAGTGTTGGAATCCACCTATTTCTATATAGTTTTACTGATATCCTTTGCACAGGTGAAGATGTTTACTTAGCATTAGCACCTTTTTATAGTGACAATGGAGTGATTATGGAGTTGCAGGATATAATTTTTATGGTCTGACCTGGATTCCAATAGAGGTGAACAAGGGAAGAATGGTGAAGAATGACAACAGAATTGTAGATGAGCATGTCATGACTAAGGATGGAGATTTGGGAGGCCCTGAGGATGGATTGGAAAGGGAGGAGCAATATTGTCAATGTGGTAAGCAGATGATTGTCGTTTTGGCCTCATAGGTAATGGGGTGACCAGTCAATGCCTTGGTATTAACTAGTCAAAAACAAAATATATTTTCTAAATTTAAGATATAGAAGATTTAGTTTCAGTAATCTTGTTTTTGCATATATTGAAAGGAAAGCAAGATATGCTGAGATAGGGAGTGGCGGTCTTTGTTTTTCAAAGAAAGACTGCAACTTTGACTATTTGATGTGGTCCCCTTGTTTGTGGCAATTCTTTATCAGCACAGCACCAATTGGAAGAAGGCCTAAATGAACTCCTTCACTATTCTTATCTTATTGCTTATTTCTATTTTATATGCCATCAACCAACTACATGCCATTGCAAATTCTTTTAGCAACTAACTTGCATATAACAAAATAAAGGCATGTTATATGATGTTGTTTTAAATAATTAGAGATTAAGACAAGAAAATAAAACTTTAAAATGCAACATTTCCATTCTATTGCATCATTATTGAAGGAGGCTAACACAACATTTATAGTTTTCATTCCCAAGCAATAAGGTGTAGTAGAGCTTAAAGATTTCTGACCCATCAGCTTAATTAGCAGCATTTATAAGATAATAGGTTAAGTGTTGACAAATTGGATGAGAAGAGTCCTCAATCAGATCATGTCTCCATCTAAGGGGGTATTTGTTAATGGAAAGCACATTCTTGATGGGCCATTGATAGCCAATGAATGAATTGATTAGAGAACGAGAGCAAGTCTACTAGGCGTTATGAAGTTGGACATGGAAAAAGCTTATGACCACGTCCTATGGGATTTATCATCAACAATGTCTATTGAAGGGGTGATAGACTAATTCATGAATATGTTGATTTTCTATGTTTGAAATAAAGCATATACATTTTTTGAAGATTTTAAACAACTAATAGTGCAAGATAATTGCTGCTTACTATGGAACCTAAGGAATTACACTTGGATTCATGTTTTTATTCAAAAAAAAAGAAAATCACTTAGGTGACTAGGCAACAATTGATAGTAAAAGATAGGTTTTATTAAAAAAAAAAAATTCATCACCTAGCCTAGCCTCAATTCCTTGAAAACTATGCCTCCAGGGTCCACTGCCTTACTTTGACAATCAAGAAATACAAAGATAGCTTAACATGTGGAACAAAGTAGAATTTTCAGAAGGAAGAATGACGAAAGAATTCCCTCCTTGTTCAATTCAAAAGGACGACTTGAAGCCATCTAAAGGCATCGAAGGTTTGGAAGAACTGACTTCAAGGGGGGGATGAATCAAAGAAATCAATCAAGCAACTTCTTCAAGATAGAGAACTCCAACGCCTTGAGTCTATTTGATTAATTCCACAGGTGAGGAAGGAAAAGGTTTACATGGGGGAAGTTGAAGGGGATGGTGGAGATTCCAAGGATGGGGAACGAGAAATAAACGAAACATCAACTAGAGTGAAATCTTTGGAAATCATAGCTCAATTGAACAATGAGGTAGGTATGGACTTTGGCTCTTCCATTTCTCCTCCTACTTCTTTTACTTCTTTGGGTTTGGAAACTCCTAAGAAAGAGGGAGATAATAGAGGAGATGGTTTTGAATCTACGGATGAGGGGAGAAGT